CCACCCCCCCCCCCCCCCCCCCCCCCCACCCCCCCCTCGCCCCCTCCCAATCCAGTTCCTCCAGCACCCACACCCTCCCCTTCAGACGCCCCCAGCACACCAGTCCTACCCTGTCCCCACCCCTGACACCCCCTCAACGACTTTCCCCCACCCCAAGCTCCCCTGCCCAACAATTAGATTTCAGGGAATAAGAATCCTCAGTACCAAGCTCAAGCTGGGAAACAGCACCTCACCCACGGAAAGGAAGACCCCGCACAACCCCTCAGGAGGAGGCAGGCATGGGCGGGTGTGGGGGGTGAGTCCCGGGAGATTCTGGCAGCAGGGGGCTGGGAAGCAGAGAAGCACATCTGCGGTGGGTCCGCGGTGCCAAATTTCCTAAGAGCAGAAAATAGGCGTCTCAGCTCAGAGCACCCTAAGTAAAGCCGACTGGAAGGAAAATGACTCGCCTTGGGCCAACAAAACCCTTCACACTGTTGGAGAAACTTTACCCCATGACTGCATCTCATGAGCCATTTCCGTTGGGAAACCCACAGGGTGAACTGTCACGAGCACCCACTCTGTGGGAAGCCGGGCTCCCAGTGCCACGTGGGACAGACCCCACTGTGACTGGCCCATGTGGGACCTGACCGATGTGAGCAGAGCCTGCGTGACCGGAGCCTGTGATGACCGGCCTGTCTGTGACCTGACTGATGAGAGCAGAGCCCGCCGTGACTGAACCGTGTGGCGACCCAACCACACACATGTCCATGACTCACGGCCCCTCAGGGGGAGGGCAGAGGGGCCTGTCTGGGGGGAACACCAGCTGCCCCTGGGGACGGACACCGTGGGTGCCGGACAGTTATGGATCCCTCGATGTTCATAACCAAGCGATCACCATCGTGATTTAAAGTCTTCTAAAACTTCAGTGAGATCTCTGAGGACAGAGTCGCCTCTCCTGAAGCCAGCAGGGTCCTCGAGGTGGCCGGACGCCTGCTCCACCTGCAGTGGGGGACGGTGCTTCCACCCACCAGGCAGAGGAGCCCACAGACGCTGCTGTGCTCAGCTCGGGAGGGGCCTGAGGAAGCCTGGCTTTGGAGGGGGCAACCAAGAAGCCACTCTAAAGACAAAAACCATAATTAGGCCGGGCGCGGTGGCTCAAGCCTGTAATCCCAGCACTTTGGGAGGCCGAGGCGGGTGGATCACGAGGTCAAGAGATCGAGACCATCCTGGTCAACATGGTGAAACCCCGTCTCTACTAAAAATACAAAACATTAGCTAGGCATGGTGGCGCGTGCCTGTAATCCCAGCACTTTGGGAGGCCGAGGCAGGTGGATCACGAGGTCAAGAGATCGAGACCATCCTGGTCAACATGGTGAAACCCCGTCTCTACTAAAAATACAAAACATTAGCTGGGCATGGTGGCGCGTGCCTGTAATCCCAGCTACTCAGGAGGCTGAGGCAGGAGAATTGCCTGAACCCAGGAGGCGGAGGTTGCGGTGAGCCGAGATCACGCCATTGCACTCCAGCCTGGGTAACAAGAGCGAAATTCCGTCTCCAAAAAAAAAAAAAAAAAAAAAAAAAAGAGATTGAGACCATCCTGGCCAACATGGAGAAACTCCATCCCAACTAAAAATACAAAATTTAGCTGGGCGTGGTGGCGCGTGCCTGTAGTCCCAGCTACTCGGGAGGCTGAGGCAGGAGAATCGCTTGAACCGGGGAGGCGGAGGCTGTGTGAGCCGAGGTCGTGCTGCTGCACTCCAGCCTGGGGCCTGGTGACGGAGTGACTCTGTCTCAAAAAAACGACGTGATTTAAGGTCGTCTAAATAAAAACGTTCACCTGCTAGCACTGTATCGCTCTCAACCTGCGTTTTCACGTCTGAAGTACTCAGCTTCTAAAATGCTGTTTACAAACAACAAAAACCCCTTTGCACCCATTTGAAAGGAACAAGTGCTGTTCACAACTAGGAGCATGTTTTTCTTCGAAGAAAAACCCCCTCAAGTGTTCAGAGATGCGCCAGCTGCCGGCCCTCACGGTGATTCGGCAGTCTTACCGTAACTGACTTTCTCCCCAAGAACTCTTTACGGAGCCACAGTGGGGCGTCCCTGAAGCAGTAACAGTACTGAAGGGGAGGCCGGTACTCACGCTGCGCGGGTGCTGGACGGCAGCCTCGTGTTGCAGCCTCACCCGCTGGGGCATCATCACGTCGTCCTGCAGGGAAGAACACAGTTCTCGATTGTTTGCTCATACTGATTGGTTGATTGATTGGTTGACTAATGGGGTCCGCTTTATTGCCCAGGCTGGAGTGCAGTCCCGCGGTCACAGCTCACTGCAGCCTCAAGTCATCCTCTCGCCTCAGCCTCCCAAAGAGTTGGGACTACAGGTGTGAGCCACCGCGCCCAGCCCCAGGAACATACTTCCAACTCATATGAAGCAATTCCTGCAAATAAGTCAGAAAATGATAGACAACAGCAAAGCAGGCAAGAGCCTTGAACAAGCCGTTCAGTCAAGAGGCACCAATGCACCCATGTGAGACGTGTGCGTCTCTGCGGTGGGCCCGTGAGACGTG